GTGGACCTGTCTAAAGTTAGTCAGAGTGGTTTCAATAAAATCTCAGGTTTCATCGAGTTAAAGAGTGCCCAGTAAATGTAACTTGTCAAGTTGTTGATGACAATAAAATTTAACACACTTGAACTGTCCAACCTTGATTTTAATTCATGCTATTAATGCTGTTTATAGTGAACAAAGATAAGTTGATGACATTTCATGCCATAGCTGATGTACACTGAAAGCATTTTCAACCATGTTCAGCCATTGTTCTTTGGCTATTCTTCTGCTATTTTGCAGAGATTTGAATGATGATAACTGACTTTTAACAACTGTATCACTAAGTGAAGGTTGGGTGCTTGAAATTTCCAGGAGCTTTCACTATTGGCAGCCAGCTCCTGGATTGAGACTTCTCCCATGGCTGGAAAATCCTAGCAACCCAGCATGGGGCCCCCACACAGGAAAGGGAATCAGGTGCCCATCACACTGAATAAACAGTGGAAAGAGGGAGGGAAAGGGTGGGGAAAACTGCCTGGATGATGAGCTGCCACTCCTCTCAAAGCTGCAAGTTCACACTCAATGAAAGTACATGCAGGAACGTCTCAAACAGAGACTACTAGAGAATGCTGAATCTCTTTCTTGTTCACTCCATTAAACTGCATTTAATTGCATTTAATACCTGTTATAATAGCCCTCTTCATCAAGGGTACTGTAGATGTGAGTTATGGTCAGCAAACAAACTGTTTGCTGTGCCTAAAACAAAAAAAGATGGCAGCAGTTGTCCACTCATAAACAGTACTGTTACTTAGCTATGAACCAACCATTGCATACATCTGTACATAGAAAGTACACCTGATCTGTTCTTAACTCTGCCTCAGAATGTTCTAATTAAGTTACATCTGTGTCAGAAAAACTAAAAAGGTTTACATCGGACAAATTAACCAACAGCAGGTTTAATCTTGAGCTGGAGTGATAGGCTTGTTTAAATCCAAACTTGGAGCACTTCTAAGACTTTGTGAGGCATGTCGTAACTGGCGAGCTACCTCATCAGTTGCCTTGTGACATTCTTTGTCTAACATACTCGCCAGTACATCTAAAAGGCCCAAGTAACTATAACACAAGGCAGCACGGCGCAGTCTGTTTAGTTCCTAAAAAAGTGATGGGGAAGGAAATTGAATACATACATGTACCAGAATGTAGATATGCTGTAAACTCTTGCCAAATGGATGTGACATCTTGGTTTAGGAATATTTTGCTACTCAATTTACAGTTTAACAGATGAAACAAGGTGAATTCCTTTGCAATAGTGTTCATAGTTTAGCAATGGGAATTGTATTGTAGTTTTGACTTTTAACCTCTGGACTTTTACAGTAATCAACCAAATAATGATCTTCTATATTTTATCAAATTCATTCATATTTTAATATTACAGTAAACATTTTTTAGATTGGTGACCTGCAGCAAATTTTTTAGGAAAAATTTTGAAACGAAACCACAGTTTAACCTGATACAACTTTCACAAACTTAATGTCACTGTTACCTTATAAAATTGGCCTTGCTTTTCAGGAAGTCTTTTTGCATACCGCAACAGCTTTTGGACATCAGACTGAAAGTATACACAAAAAACTAACTGTCAAAGCTAATTTTCAGATGCTGGGAAAATCAAACACAATTGATGATTTCACTGAGCTACTTATCATATCCTAGATTTTGCTCAAATATCAGCAAATCTTTTCACATATGTCCAAGATTTCCTAGATATACAATTGCTGGAACTACTCCAAATAACTGAGGTTTTTCCCTGAGTAAAGCCATATCACTGATAATATCAAATATTAAGGATACCAAAAAAGTGGAAATGCTGCTGATTCCTCAGATTTACATCCCACCATTGATGATAATTGCAGACCTCTACAATTTCAAGTCTTCATTTGCCTGAAAAATCTGGGACAACTAGGAACACTTACATCCATACAGATACAATCTGGTTGCCCTTAATTATTATTGTCTTCATTGGCCAAGCCATCTCTTTCTACAAACCAGCTACCACATCTCTCATACCTGTAATCCACTTGGTTTGATCCAAACAACATTGGCTTGTGAATTGTAGCTTCTCCTCTGACTTGGCAAAACTGGAAAGGGTGTTGTCTCAGATTCATCATTGTCTGAAGTCTGATATGGATTGGAGTCGAGTTCTGCGGCTGGACCAAGTTTCTGCATATTGCCAAGCCATGAGATGTTGTTTTCGCCTGGAAAGAATGTTGTGAGAACAAGATTGGATTTCTTTTTGCTGTCTGCCCAAGAATGAAGCATTCCAAACCAGTCAGAGCTAGAAAATAAGCAAGCAATTATAATATTAACTACATGTATACACTACATAAGACCTTCAAGGTGAAAGGTCAGTCTTCTGATAACAAGTGTGTTCTCATATGTACACAGAAAAGATAACAGCATTTCTTTAAAGATCCTATGTTATACCAGGTATAAAAACTGAAAAAAAAAAACTACCCAAACAAAGAAAAACATGCAAAATTACAGAATGTAATTTACTGAAGTGCCACAAACATAGACATAAAAAACCTGCATCACCTAGATGTTCAAATCATACTCACTCTAACATGACAATAGCCACCATTTTCTCTACTTTCAAACTTCCATGTAGAAGTACACAGAAGGAAGGAGTTTTACCGTCCTCATCAGTGTCTCTAACAGTCTCCTTTCCTCCTTCTTTATCCTTGCTATCTGCGGATGATGTTGGAACTGGAATCACAAGATGACGAGATATATGTGGTGGGCTTCCAGCATCTGCAACGTCGAGAAAACCACATATTGACAGTTCATTTGGCATTCTCCTCGTCTTCTCTTGGCCTGTGGTTTTCTTAGATGTCTCAAGTATGCTTGTTAAATCTGGTGCCGGTGACAGTGTTATTTTGGATTGCAAATGGCCACATGACAGAGTTCCCTCGTAGCTTATGTAATGAGTTTGAGCAAGGCGCGTAAAAACATTCTGGACTGACTGGACACTGAGTGGCATGTCAGGCACATAAACACTTCCTCCAGGACCTGCAGAATCACAAAGTCTTTGAAACAGCATCAGATCCCCTCCCAGTTCATTTGCTGTTGCAATGCATACAACATGTATTTTACAAGGAAACGGGATGGGAAATGGGGAAGGTTGGTCAGGATTCTCCTTTCTCTTCCCTTCTAAAAGCTCCTTGAGCGATCCCTGACCAGACCCCGTGCGGCCATCTGTAACAAGGATCACTTGACACGGCACAGAGGTGCCCCACTCCTCAATAACATGGCCGACAACACCACTAAAACCATTGTCAAAACTTGTCTTGTCGTAGACATCTACTGTTATACAACCCTGCTTTAGTGCTTGGTAATCTCTGGTAAACGGTACAACAATCTCCCATAAGGATGAAAAGGCCAACAAAGCTGAGAATTCCAACTTAAACTTGCTTGATAAGTAGTCAAAGAAAACGTGAAGCCCGCGCATAGCAAGATGACGGCGTTCTACAAACTCATCTTCAGGCGTTTGAACGCGCCGTAGCATGGAAAGTGAGACATCAAGAAGTACCACTGTTGGCATTTTGAGATTTGTGCGCGTACAGAACCAGTGAAAGAAGGCAGATGCAGGCACGTCGATGAACGATTCAATCGCTCAGACCGCCGCCATATTGAAAACTGCGAGAGCCTGGTAATAGGCACCATAGGCCGTCATAGGACACCACAGGTGTGGGTACACATTTGCCATACGGATAGATTTATTTTTTAATTCAGGAATTTTGTCTCAATATATAAAGTCTATACGCTATAAAGAGAGACAAATGTTCGCCTTAAACCGGGTCAGGGTTCAGGTCTCAGCGACATAACTCTAGCCAAACTACTCCACCCAGTCCTTCAAGGGATGATTCTGCTACCTCGGGAATACATTCTTAGCCATATCCCAGTACTAAAGAAGTTTCGTATCCACCGTTCTTTTTTAACAATTGGCACTTCTTTTAACTTCTTACCTTGGCTCGATTTGCACCGCTCTCCTGGGTTCGGTTTCCATCCCTCCTTTCCCAAACAACCAAACAGCCGTTATTCGGTATATTTCTCGGACGAAGGTCTAACGCTCGAAACGTCAGCTTCAGAAACTCTTTACAGAGACTCCTACATTTTGGCAAATTTACATTATCAACTCGCTTGATTAAGCCATATTATCTAATTTTTTTATCAGCTGGCATAGCCGACTCTTTTTTTTCCGGGCGCTCGATGAAAACAAAGGAGGAACTTAAAGCAGCGGAAGTTCGGTTCGGTTTTTCTCAAAATTTTATGATCCAAACTTCTTGCGGCTTAGCCGCTCCTTTTTACGGTTTCGTTGCAGTTTCGTTCGTTCTCTCCTCCAGAAAGTTACTGCACAAATTTCGTTGTCAATTTCTTCTTTTCGATTTCTCATACTAGAATTAGAACACCTCGACCTCAGTACTTCAATTTCATTTTCTCGTAATGATTATTTTAAAAAAAGTAATGTGATCAATTAGTAATTGATAAATAGAAATTCTGACAATTTAGTATGTAATTTATTTTAAATTAACTTAAATATAATAGGTTAAACAAGATAATTTTATTAATTATTAAATGTACGATATATCGGTACCTCGTGTCAGGAATTTTTAAAATATCAGTTCGGTGCGTGAGCAGCAAAGAATGACGTTGGATAAGGAGCATTGTTGGAATGTTGAATGATCGCTATTTCCTGAATAAATATCAACCTGTCTGAACATTTTGAATTTTTTCGCTCGAAGTAGTCTTTATAAAATTTTCCATTGTTAAATAGTTGCTGCTGCATTATCAGAAGTTCTTACTGATGGTATCAATGATAAATATCAAGGATAGTAAACCATTTGAGACGTGCTTTGAACAAACTCTCCTCCCACCAGGAACGAAATGACGTCATAGTCTCTAGGGACAGGTGCTTTTGTGATGTCAGTAATTTAGCAACGCAAAGGACCTGGAACCGAATCTAAATTTGACCTAGTCGTTGGAATATACACGAATATGGAAGGAACCTACGATTGATCTAAATTCATCTCGATTCCACCTTTTGTTTAAATTTCTACCATTGTCTTTAGCTTGAAAGGGTTTCAGATGAACGGGCTTTCGTTTTCGGAGATTTGTTGTCTGTTTTGCTGTCCGCCTTGCCCGGGAAAAATCGCTGCGAAGTTAGCCTTTCTTCCTCCGGAGCCGACATATTCGCTTCAAGATTTGGGCGATGGAACTTTCGGGCTTCATCTCACAGAGAAAGCCGAGTGGCAGTACGGCCAGAAGGAGCTAGACTGCATCGAGGTTTTCACAGCGAAAACAAGCAAAGGGAATCAGATCGGTTGCATGTACGTGAGATGCTCTCCGAACGCTCGCTTCACCGTACTCTTTAGCCACGGCAACGCCGTAGACCTCGGACAAATGTCAAGCTTTTACGTTGGTCTCGGATCGAGGATTAACTGTAATATATTTTCATACGATTATTCTGGGTACGGTGTTAGTCAAGGAAAGCCTTCAGAAAAGAATCTTTACGCCGATATCGATGCCGCTTGGCAAGCATTGCGAACGAGGTACGGAATCAGCCCAGAGAACATAATTGTGTATGGCCAAAGTATAGGCACTGTACCTACGGTAGATTTGGCTTCGAGATTTGAATGTGCAGGAATTATTCTTCATTCACCGCTTACTTCTGGAATGAGAGTAGCTTTTCCCGAGACGAAGAGGACGTGGTGTTTTGACGCATTTCCTAGGTAAGAAGTTTACAAAACTCTGATTATAGAATTAGTTTATCTCAAATCGCGACTAGTTGAGCGTTGTGATCAGAAAATCGTTTATTTTCGCCCAACATTTACTCAAAAGACAAATTTTTTATCGAATTGAATGACATTTGACGCTTTCTGTTCTTCTAAGGTTCTTTCAAATGAAGCTCTACTTTTTTCTTATTTCGTGTCCTTATTCAGGTGAGACATTTCAATTCATGCAATGTTATTGAAAAGTCTCAATCGAAGTGCTTCCAATCCACCGGGGATTAGTATTTAGTTGGGCAGTGCCGAAAAATCAAGGAATTTATGCTTGTAGTTCGTCCTCTGTGCCAAAGAAAATAATCTGTGTAGTTGAAATTATTTATTTTGTTGAAATTGTAGCCAACACCCGTCGTTTACTTTTTTAAAAAAACACATTTAGTTACATTGTCATTTACAAAAGAAAATAGAAATAAATCAACACTTGGATAGTTGTATAGACCTGTTTCTCTGAAGGGCAACTGAAAATTGTGGTGATTGAAGTGAAATTGAACTTCAAGGGGAAGGAAAAGCAACACCTCAGAAAGATGACGATAATATATTGGTTGCTTCGTTTCAATTTCGCAATTTTTTCAAAACTTGAAACAGGTTCTGTTACATTAGTAATAACTGATATAGCTGTTGTATCAGTGAAAACTTTGATTTTGTAAAAGAGAAGGTCAAGGGCGCAGTGAGCATTAATACATGTTGAATAATTTGATTTAAAAATAAACACTTTTTGAAACACTAACTCCTATTGCCAAGGTAATACATTTTAATACAGCTTTAAGAAAATTCAGGCTTTCAATCAAGAATTGGAAATTGCTTCTTTTGCATACTGTTCATACAAAATTATATTTCTCAAATTATTATTTGAGAAGGCCACAGCCTGTTAGATTATATTTAGCGTTAGTATATCTTAAAACTTTAAGTCTGAATAAAATATTAGTAAGTGAAGTACCCAACACATAATTTTTTACAGCCACTCATCTAAGTATGAACCCTGTGAAATGGAGGTTGAATTTCATGGATGGTTGGATGAGAAAAGAAAAAAAAACCTAGGCCTACTATGATGTTTAACTTATCTATGTGTTACAATTTGAGGTACCTCATCTAAAAATTCAGTTTTACAATTTGTTTTATCTTTTGGCCAGCAGATCAAGGAGAAATATTAATTGTTTGAAAATAGTTTCAAGGTATTAATTTTAACTCACAGAGAAACTGATTAAGCAGCATGTTAGTGTAAACATTATCCATGCTCAATGTGCTATGGAATTAAACAGTGCCTCTTTAAAATTTTTAATTGTTGACTGTTAAAAAAAGCAATTTAAAAGTTAGCAAACAATTTGACAAGTTAACAACATCTTGTTATTGCTGGCAAATTTTAACAGTCATTGTAATCTCAATACTTTTGTTTTCATAAAGCTGTAGTAAGTCTTGTTTCATCTTTTGGTAGATAGTAACATCAATTGAATTTCAAATATTAAATCTACTCTTTGCGAGCCCAAATTTATATTTTCCAGATATCTTATCTGTTATTGGTTTATAAAGAGGTTTTGGTAATGTTTTACTTTGAGAGTGAGCTTTCCTTGACACCAAAACTTAACATATATTATCTTTGTCTCTAGACATAATGATGTAGCTTTTATTTTTATTTGAATACTATTTTCTTGGAATAAAACTGTATGCCATTTGATTTGCTTTGTTTTTTACCTTAAAGGGCTACACCATATCTTTGCCATTTGATGTACTGGTTACATGCGAACAAACATGTATATACAGTGGTCATTTCTTTTTCACTCACACATCCAATATTTCTTTAATATTGTTATTGCTGATTAATTTTATTGCTATTTTGTTGCATGGCAATATCAGTATTCAGAGCAAACAATGTACAATATTATTACATCATATGCAATCATGTGAATGTGAGACACATGTTTGTTTCTTATAGCACAAATATCTAAAAGAACGATTGTGTTTCATTACAATAGTTAGTTGGGATAAAAATGTATACAATTTTTTTGTTATTGAAGCATAGCTTGGGGGAAAATGTGCTTAGTAGCTTCTTTTTTTTGCTTTAAGATAAAGATTTTGGCCACATTTTGTTAATTACAAAGTTTGCATGTCAGCCCTTGTTGTTTTTGTTAATTGTTTTCCTCTTGGAAAGAGTGGCTCTGTGGAGTGTCTTACTTGTTTGTGGCGTACCCAGCCTTGCGTTAACAAATATTTGAAATGGTGCTTTTGTAGTGTTTGAATGTGGAATCAAGTGAACTTGTCATTAATAAGGTTTTATTTTCCTTTTGCAGTATTGAAAAGGTCTCCAAAATTGTTTCACCAGTGTTGGTCATTCATGGAACAGAGGATGAAGTTATAGATTTCTCACATGGCTTAGCCATCTATGAGCGATGTCCGCGGACAGTGGAGCCACTTTGGGTGGAAGGTGCCGGTCACAATGATGTGGAATTGTATGGTCAATATCTGGAGAGGTTGAAACAATTTATACAACATGAGCTGGTGACAAACTGATGTATTGAAAGACAACATTTTTCAAGCACTGTGCAGTGTAGTTGTTATTAGAATACTGTTAGTATTACCAAGTTGTTTAGCTTTTTAATTTGCATCATTGAATGTGTGTGATCAGGGACATTCTTTGTAAACTGAGTGTTAGCAAAGACCTTTAAGCCCTGATACAATTTAATGTAGTAATTCTGTGATATACATGTGCATGCATGTCTTCAAGAATTGTTGAATGGTGAAATGCATTTTTTGTAATATTATTTCTCATGATTTGTGAGGAAAACTCATAATACATTTATTATATGGGCTTCAAAGGTTAATGTTAGTAACTAGTGTATTGTATCTATAAAAACATATGTTTATTGTTCACTATAAATCATAAAAATTTATTTTAAAGTTCAGTGATGCTATTCCTTTAATTGACAAGAAGTATTTTTGTAAATGGTCTCCATATTCATTTAAATCTTTGCTGTAAAGAGTACAGTGTGTTTCAAGTTTGTTTTTTCGGTGGTAATCGTTAGAACCAGAAATTTATCCATCTATATTATTTTCGTTCAATTTGTTACTGATTCATTCTTGAAGCATTAAGTTCAATGCTCAATGTCACATGTATTTATAAATGCAGAATGTTTCAATCTGTAAAACTACATGTAAATTTAGTTTTTTTGGAACTTTGTTTTGGCATTGCAAACTTACTTTGATCATTTCAAGGAATTTAACCTGCACATTTACTGTAAGTAAGGTTTTGTTGTTGCGAAAATGGGTTATAGGCAGGATGAAATTTTGGAATGATCATTACAAATAACTTGATATAGACTTAATAGTAGTTAATGTGTAGTTTAATATTTATAAGGAGCACTTATCTCTTGAAAGTGGAGGCTCTGTCTGGAAAATTGTGATGTTATTTTCGTGACATTCAAAATAACTCTGAGTATTGATTTCTCTTTTAGTTCCCAGTGAATAATTTGGCATGAAATTTGAGGTCTTGGGTTTCTTTTTTTTTTTTTTTTTTTCTTTTTTTTTCGGATGTTTGAGATTCAAGGTGGGAAGTAATTCAAATTTAATTACTCTTTATTATAAATGTAAATCATGTCAAGAATAATGTCTTAATTTCTAAGAAGATGAGTTAAGAAGATGAGTAAATAAGTCAAAAATATTAGACACACTCGTCACTCACACATTGCTGATTGATACAAAAGTACCACATTTTTGCAACCTCTTGCAGTAATGCATTTTCAGCTTTTTCCTTCGATGAAGCAAGTCCAGTTCCTTTCCATCCGACATGGTTTGCATTGTTAAAGATTTTGAGAATCTTTATGCGATCTGTTACTCTCTAGAAGATCATGACAATCCTTGTAAATAGGAATTTTGTGTTTTCAAAGCTTGGGAATGCTCTTGCGGTGATTCCCAACATAGCCGCTTTTGTTAGCTAGCTACAATCATGTATACAATGTAGAAGGAATAAAAACTGTTTGTAAACTTTGGATGAACATTTTGTAATTTTCAGGGCTTGAAAAACATCAAAACAAAGAAAAAGACAAAAAGAAATAGTCTGCTTATATAGGGCAAGTGTTGGATACCTACTTGTTCACACTCTTCGATATCTTTCCAACCCTGAATTTTTTTGATAAAGGTTTACCAACAGCACATCCAACTGTACCTTCTCGGCCTTTCCCCGTCCCCTATCCCCACCGTCCACTCTAACTCCAAATCGAACATGGCTGGTCGGATAAACGATCGCGAGCTTATAATCGTTGAAAGATGCTTGGAAAGACATTTTCAAATCAGTTCAGCTTTTTTAAGAGGGTTGTTGATACGTGGAATGCGTCACAACTGTCAAGTCGTGCTCTAAGTATTTATAATTCTAAGAAGGGAGTAGCTGATTTCTAGGCTACTCGATAATCTCTTGCTTCTGTAGATATTCATATGTCAATTATAACTTTTACTTTTTACATACATAATTCCCTTTTCTAATTTCTTCGTTTTTCTTTAAGTTTTAGGTAGTCGGTCTCGTATGTGTTCTATGACTCTTGCTGACCATTCATATGGCATTGTTGATGTTTCTTAGTCTCGCTCGCTATTGAATTGTAATATAGCAATTAGCACTGACTACCAGTTTCTGGGACAGATCCTGTGTTTTGTGGCGGAACTACTTTTTTTATTTATACTGTATTTTCGCACCCTTAATTTGCACTTATTCTTTTCGTTTTTCCACGTATCATTTCTACACCATATTTCCGCACTTTATGCAATTCACATTGAATTTTATATATTCCTGTTTTATGTCCCTTGGTAGCACTGTGTCTTACTTTTGCGTCGATGTAAACCTTTTTCCTACGAGTTTTTCATGTCTCGTATATTATTAAAGAGTATTATATTGAATACCGAGTAAAAGTGTTAGAGTGAAGTGGGCTCTTACTTCTTCATTGTGCTTTAAAAGTTTACGGTGGGATTTCAGTCATTCAGAGTTCCGAGTGCTTGCCATGCCACCATAATAAGAGGGGTTATACTACCACAATTTTATACCAGTCACATTGCCAAACAACAGTTCCAGATTTTTGAAGAGAAGAATTTTTTCCCTTTGTCCTAACATATTCATGGGTCTCCCAGTTCACTAAATTTTCATTTCAGGATATTGAGAGAATAGCTTACTTAGAAGACGTTTCCGTCCAACATGCCCCCAATGCAATCCTCACTGAAAGCGAAGATAATTTGTTAACCCTTTACACTCTAACATCAGTATCCATATTCTCCATACTCTTTCCTATACATTTCCTTTGGTACTGACAAGGAGAATTCCTTTAAAAATCCAAGCTACCTAGGTTAGCGATCATCTCCTTTTTTCTCATGATCGTAATAAATTAATCAGCAGTATTACTGTATGGAGACATTAGATGTTGGTCACTCTTATGGTTTAAAGGGTTAACCACTGTCCTTCCGCCGATTTTCAAAGTAAAAAAAAGAAACGATCCGATTCTATATTCCTCTTGCTCAAGCTTTAAAATATGGATAGTATTGCAAGGCAAGTGCCACGAGCTTGAAGTACACGCGGAAGCTTGATATCTTAGACTGCGTGACTTGCTTTGTAACGCAATGATCAACACTGATCATGCGTTTGGTGAAACCATGGTGAGGAAGTAACGTTTGGTATTCTAGAACTTTGCTCAAATGGATGATCAAAAAAGAGGTGGCACTGACGATTTAGCTACTTTATCTGAACTGAATGAGGAGATAATTCTTCACGAACTGAGAGCCAGATACAGTCAAGATGTCATCTACGTGCGTATTTTTCCTCGCGAATGCTCGTGTTCAATTTAGAAACAGCCGAATTATTTTGAGTGTTAATGCGCTTAACTTTATGTTGACGTGATTTTCCTTGTTCATCAATGTTTAATTCTTTTATTTTTTTGAAAATTCACAGACCTACGTCGGAGATATTCTTATCGCACTCAACCCATTCAAGCCTCTGGAAATTTACCACAAAAGTGTAAGAATGAATATTCGTAGAAAATTATGATCGACTTTCGAATTTGCCGTTTATTAAGGAAATAAGGAAATACACTTGTTCAGAGGTATAACTGTTTGGTCCCCTTATTCAACATCCGTGTTTTCAAACTCAATGTAAGCCCTGAGAATTTAATCCAGCTCGATTAATTGCGGGTTTCATGAAAGATTAGACGATAAGAGGGCAGTCATGCAGTAAGCAAGTGAATTTTATTCAAATTTCTTTCATCTCAGAGATAACACTTTTGTAGGCGTGGGTGTGAATGTAAGCATGTGTTTGTGACATGTAAACAGTCTGGCTCAGTTCAGCTCAGAGCTGGTTTAAATGGGGGCCTGTGTAAACACATGAAGTCAGGCCACACCACAACATCGGTAGCTACGTTTCCCACTCTTTGCGAGAAAGTGTGTGGGTTCTTTAATGTCCCGTGCTAACTAGTACAGAGACGAGGCAGGAGACGGGGCCTACGGCTTATCGTCCATCTCAGAAAATACTAGAATGTCTAACCGTTTACCGACGTCAAAGCAAAGGCAGCATATTCTCCTCGGTTATTTATGACCCTGAGTGTTGGTTCGGTCTAAGGCTTGAAACCTCAACCTCCCGCAGGCAGTCCGGCGCTCTACGACGTGAACTAACCAAGCGGTACCGCAGGCTCCCAAATGTTAGTTAAGGACTCTGTTTTCTTAGCAGAAGAAAATTTCAGAAAGTTCAGACTGTTTACAATGTTAACAATGAAATGAAGCTGATCAAAACATCCCTCGGAAAAAATTCCGCACAGCCCCATACTTCATTATGCATGCACATCTTCTTGGCGATGAATAATTGAATAATAAAGCCCCATATATGTATTCATAATGAAGTATGGGGCTGTGCGGAAATTTTTTCCCATCCCTCTACCCTTCCCTCCGCCCTTGCTTTTCGCTGGGACTGTGCTCCAGGGGTCTGCCTTGTTCCCTTGGGTATTGACATCTATCACCCTGGAAATCAAGTAAAACGCAAGTTTTCTGCTATCTCGAGAATCTGGATTAATTACATACAACTTTTGCAAGAAGGTATACGGCTAGACTTGTACCTGCAAATGACACATACTATGTTCCTACTTCATAGATCAAAGATTAAGGTTCTTAGCTCTGGTTAAAATTAGGTAATTATCTTAAGTGAGTTATTTCATGCCTGAATTTTTAACATTCAAGTGCCCAAGGGTCCCATTGATAAAGATTCTAAGTCTGATCAGATATGCAATCAGTACTAACATTATTAACTTGCATACCTTGTTGTCAGACTGCAGAAACATACAAGATGGCACAGAAATCATCCCAGCCTCCTCATATCTTTGCAATTGCCAACTCCGCATATCAAGCGATGCTGGGTGTGGGAGGAGCAAGTCCTAACAGTCAGTGCTGTGTGATAAGGTGCCCAAACATTTCCTAAAAAATTAATGTTACAGTAGTTGTCGGTCTTTTTTTAATTATTTGATGGAGAATGAAACATCAGTTGTTTAAAATGGTCCTTGAAGGTTTAGTCTGTTGACTTGGATGAAATTTTCTTGCTGAAAAGAAAAATTATATTCTGAGTGGCCAGATGGGTTCTCGCTACATGACCATGAAATGGTTTGCATCAAAATTCCAGATGAAAGCTGTTTTTTTTTTTTTCTGAGAGCATTTCATTTAAAATGTTCTTAAAGATTCTAAAGGAGCAAAAGCCGTGAAACAGAAAATCTAGTTTATATATTTTCTGATTTTACTCTGCGAGAAAAATTAGAATTAATTTACTTTCATTAGCATTATTTATTGCTATAATACAGCAAGTGCAAAAAATTTTCAGTGACTTAAACAAGAAACTTGGGCCATCTCAAAAATCTTTCACTAGTCTAGTGAAAGATTTTTGAGATGGCCCAAGATCAAGTTACCATTAAACAACAGTCTGCTAATATTTAACTTTTTTGTAGTGGAGAAAGTGGGGCAGGGAAAACAGAATCAGCAAAACTGCTAATAAGTCAGCTTGTTGAATTGTCAAGAGGAACTTCTCAGTTGGAACAACAGATCCTTCAGGTACTTTGCACTAGTATCTTAAACCTTTTTTGCTAGAGTCAAAAGTTCCTCACACCTAAATTCTTCAGAGGAGAGGATTCTGAAATTCAGCCCAGAAACAATTGCTGTGCTAAGGGGTTGATTGCTAGTATTTCTATTCATTTCTTCTTCTATTAATTTACTTTCTTCATGAAACCATAGGTGAATCCACTGCTAGAGGCCTTTGGGAATGCTCAAACTCTAATGAATGACAACTCAAGCAGATTTGGAAAGTATATTCAGCTAAAATTTCAGCAAGGCATGGGTAAGAAAATCAGCACAACAAACTATCAAATGGTTAAACAGTTTAGGGTAGTCAGATTGTCAGTTTGATATTCAAAAGTCTGACACTTTATCTGTTAGTAAATCAGTTGGTTTGTTCATGCATCCATCTGCCAGTTAGCCTTTAGTTAGCCATGAGTCAAAAAGTCAGCGCACTGG